ACTGAGTCTCTCGTGAATAGTCATTTGAGACAGGGTTCTCAATGACCGCGCTTGTATACTAGGTTGATGATGAAACATCGCTCTAGATATTTAGCCAGCTGGAGTACTTCCACGCTACTAGATCCAGGCTAGACAAACCTTCACGCGTTCCGTTTTAGGATCGTGGAGAGACGTAGGATTACTACCACAACCTACTCTATCACACTTTATAGTCTCCCGCGGGAAGCCAGATCTACGATCCTTTGATGATGATCTCTCTCGTTGATTAGTTTTCATAGCTTTCTTAATCTCTCTCTCATAACTTTCATTCTCTCAAACTCAAAACACTCGAAAGTGTTTAGTTGCTCTAAGCTCTCTTTTAGTTTACTGTTTCTATTGAGATACTATTGAAAAAGTGGGTGGTGGTACAGCTTTTACTACTGGCATCAAATTCTAGTACAGAGGTACAGGGTTAATCCCTAATCGCGAATACCCAACACACTCCTGTGGTCGTCGAGCTTGTCCTAGTCTCGACCATGCTTACTTACTTACTGCGCTTAGCGCTCCTTCTTTGAACGGACCTTCTTGTCCGGCCGTGACCCTCCCTACGAGTGCCCTGGCTCTGAGTGTTCCACAACACCCATCAACTTGTCCACGTTTTGTTTGAACAGTCGACCTTGGTTCGGCTTCTGCCAGAAGTCCGCAACCATATCATCATTGGACACCAGTCCACACTGATCTCCTTCTTGCGACTCTGTCGCTCACAAGAAGTACCTAATGTTATGTGCTTCGTTCGTTTACTACTAGAAGCTTTGCCGTTCTTCTCTAGAAGCATGAGTCGAACTCAAACCCTATCTAGGATCGAGTCGCGAATAAGGCTAAGAGCCGTGTATTGCAAAAGGATCATTACGTCTATGATGTCATGGCTGCTGGAGATTTGGAGCTCGCCGAGGCTGGAGCATTCTAGGCAGTGATGATTTAGTGAAGCTCAGCTGGCATTAAAAGTTAGACAGGTTTGTTTGTTTTAGAATATGGTTTATTTAGCGGGTAGCAAACAATGAACTTGTCTCCATGTATACCAGGCATTTGAGTAGGAGACATTTGAGGGCCATGGTGACTGGCCTGACCTTGGTCGTCCGCAGCAGTGGGTCTTCCCTGCAACTCTAGCTACCCGTTTCTAATTACTAGAGAGGTCATACAGCATTTGCAAAGTAGATGATCTACTATGAGCCTGGAATCACCAATGGTCATCATTGCTTCCATCATCTGCGGTAACTCTATGATACTGGTAACCCCACCCCTTCCTCGAACTGCATTTTTCATTCATCAGCCAGTACTTGGCTATCGTCAAGAACTAGTTTGAAACTGAGCGTTTCGCCTGGGGGTACCAAAGATTTCATGCATTAGTTGATGGTGAGGTTGGGGGTTCCTGTTGAGTTTCAAAATTCTGAGGTGCTCTGGAAATACAATGGCAGGCAGTCCTACCGTAACAATTATAATAGTGCATGGTAGTTCAACGAGTGGAGAGACTCAGTCCATCTCTTGGTCCCTTCCGCCAAAGAAAGACCGTTGTATCATGATGCGGTTACGCGGTTTCAACCTGGCTATTTACATCTACTAGCTAGGTACCGGTAGTACTACTGCTAGCTAGAGTTTGTACGCGTACCGCTGTCTGCGCTGTCATGCATGTTGGATGCTGGATGCGAGGAGGCAGGAGAGGAGGCAGGATCTCGGATCAGCAAACTGGACTCACTCGGTTTTTGGTGGTCACAGCCTGAGTGAGGTCAGTGCTCTCATCATTTGGCGGATGCTTGCGTAGGCCAATCACTTCATGACAGCGCACAGCGCACCTGCGTCATTCATCATCACCTTCTGACATCAATCCCACCACCTCGCGGTGAAGACAGGAGGGTGCAGCAAGCTGGTTCAGTTGCACCAACCACCAGGAAACAGGAGGGCAAGGGCAACCCACCTGCGCAAGGGCAGCACCGGCTGCTTTTGGACAGGAAGACACGACTTTTTAAAACAGGGAGACTCGACGCAACAACCACACCGTGAGGAACAGCTACCGGTATCTGCTGCGCATGGGTTTGGGTGGAACTGGTAGCTATGTGCTACTTGTAGCTAGCAAGATGTAGATAGTTTTGTAGTTTTGTAATGAAGCAGCTTTAGTTTATTTCGACTCTACAACTCTTAGCAATCCATCCTCCACGCTGTTTCAGCAGCCTGACGACAACGACAGCAAAGCCAAGAGTCCCAAAGTCCAACCGTCTCCAACTTTTTTTAAATTTTTTGTGTATATCGTTCTCGCTCAGATGCTTGACATTTCTGCATTCTTCACGTCATGCTGATGATGATGTACAATATGAAGAGTGTGTTCGTGTGTAGTATGACAGAAGATCGAAATAGTCATCACGCATTCTTTTTTTTTGCTCTTGCACACCATTTTTTGTACTCCTACAATCACTAGCGCTTGCTTTACCATCCTCCATTTCCACCTCCACGTGGTCCCTCTGCGTTCCAGGCTCGGCCGCCACCTCCCGCGGGGGGTAGTTCCTTTCTTCCTTGAGGCTGGGCATTGGCAGTAATGGGATACTCAACAGGTCCATCGTTGCGGATGAGAATAGTGCCACCGCCATATCCCAAGTCAAGAACAGTGGAGTAAGGACGGTTGTATCCATCCTCCACGTAGACTGGGAAGGATTGACGGCGTTTGCCACCCTCTTGCGACAAGACCTCCACAGTTGCCTGGATGGGCAAGCCTTCACTCCACAATTCGACCAAGACATTGGAAACCGAAGGCTCAAAGGAGAATCTTTCCAATTTGCCACCACTAAGGTAACGAGGACCATAGCTGTAGTCTTCTCCCATCAAATTGCGATCACCAGGCCTGAAGGGTTCTTCAAAACGTCTGGGCTCTCTTCCTCCTCGTCCTCCTCCCATTTGGGCATTCTGTCCTGGTTGCATGCGTCCAGCATCGTAGCGCTCGAGGGTGGTTCTGCGTCCAGCATTCACATGACCATCATACGAGTCGTTATTGTTGCGACGGCCACCAGGCTTGCTTTGGCTGCCTTGGCTGCCCTCCCACCAGTTGTCCGCGTACAAATCGAACCCGGAGTTGAGACCGCCTTTCTTGGCCACATTCTGCCATCCAAAACCACCTTCGGAATCGGCAGCACGTACGCCGCGTTCGCGCAATTCATTGTCCGACATGAGACCACCGCGGCCAGGCTGCTCCCCCAGATGAGGAGGGCCGCCACGACCGCCGCGACGATCAAAGTTTTGCGGCTGCTGACGTCGTCCATCTCGCATGCTGCGATCTTGAGGATTCTCTCCGTAAAAGGGATCACCGCGATCACGACGGCTCTCGCCGTTGGTTCGGTGAACATTGCGATTGTAGAGCTGCACATTGTCGCCGCCAATGCCTCGTTCTTGTTGAAACTGCTCACGGCCACCGCGACGGTTGTCATTGAGGCCTTGACGGTTTTCATTGTAGAAGCGATTATTATTATTGCGCTGGCCTGGAGCCACATCATAATGATAATCGCGTTCATTGGGGTTGCGGCCGTGTTGTGGTGCATTAGGGTTGCGGCCGTGCTCCACAAAATTGTTAGGTTCGCCGTTCTTGCTGTGACGAATTGGGTTGTATCGCTCGTAACGGGAGTCACCGCCGCCACTGGCAGTCAAACCACCGCCAGCTCCTCCCCGGCGGTCATTCATGCTGTACATGTCTTCATTGAAAGAACGTTGGTCGTTTTCACGGTACCACTGAGCCTGTCCTTGTTGGCCTTGTTGCCCTTCTCCATAGCGGTAGCGATCATACGCTCCTCCGCGGCTGTTGTACATACCATTGTCCCGCTCCACAAAATTATTATTATTGCGGTTCATACCAACATTCTGGTTCATACCAACATTCTGGTTCATACCAACATTCTGCTCCATGTAGTTCTGACGAAAGGCGTGCAAGGCAGTGCGGCTGGGAGGAGCCACCCGTCCGCTGGGCTGGACGAGACCATTGGCCCCAATGGCACTGATGGCCAGGAACACACTGGCGAGGATCTTCATTTCAAGACTTAGTATGGCTGATAGCTGAGTATATATTTCTGGCTTTGTGCGATAGCAGAAGAAGAAAAAGTAAGCACAAACAGATTTAGTTTTTGAGACTTTCGATGGGGAGTGGAAGCCAAACTACAACAAACAACTGTCTGACGCACTTTGATAACTTCCTCCTGGCCTTTGCGTCTTTGATACAGCTTGCCTTGATGGCTTTCAGCTTGTTGTGTGCATTGTTGATGACCATCTGAAAGGGGCTGATGGTGTTGTTGTTCTTTTTGAAGACGTCTTTCAGGGCAATTGGATGACCACGTCATCAATGAGCTGTTCATCTTTTGGTGATGTCAGATTGGTCGAGTCAGACATTCCTGCGAGCGCACACCGCCACTCCCACCTTCTCTCACTTTTTTCAGTCCTGTTTCTGAGTTTAACTCCCCTCTTTTTTCAGTCAAGTTTGTGAGTAACTCAGTTCGTCTCCCCGCCAAGCTGCTCACCCCATCCAAGAGCTTCGGTCGCCAACATCTCGGTTCAGTCTGAAGTTTCTCACATCCTTTGAAGCTGAGACAGCAGTGAACATACTGGTACATTTTTCTAAAACATTGATGCTTTAGGTTTCAATTAAATGGCTACAGCGTCTTATTTGCTACCGATATTGATGGCGGGAACTTGCCAATCAGCGTGCAGTCGTCCAAAAGATAGATTTCGGCTACATTGTAAAGGACCGTAGCGGGAACCTCTTCAACTCCTCTAAATTGGTCTGAACTTTGTTTGGCTTGTGGGTACTTGAAATTTGCCGACATTTGTGTGCCAACTCTGCATCTCTGTTCCGCATGTTTCTTACTTGGGGTTCTGCTGCAGACTGGCTGTGAGTCGGGTTCCAATAACATCCAGGGGCTACCATATGAGTTTCTTTCCTTTGCTGCAACTTTGTTCTCGTTAGCGCTTAAATGTGGTCTGATCTAGGTACTTGCGTGTAGCTCATTTGGCGTCTTTGTAACCGGAAGGCAAAAAAGGGAGCGGAAATATTTGTTTGTTGCAGAAGTGTTTGCCCAATGCTCGCTGAACTGCTTTTAGAAACTTTTCTTGCCGAGATTCAATACTGACATTGGCGGAGATTCGCTACCGGCATCAGTATCGTAAATTACAAATGAAAGAGCGCTCGACCCCGAACTGCAAGCCTTGCTAGACGGTAGACAGGATCCTAACGGAAGAGCTAACAAAACCTTGGACACAATGTAGATTGTTGGCGGAATTCTGACAACTTTTGCTTCCATTTTTCCTTATAGTGATCCTGTCGTCATCTAGAACCACCTAGCGTTTTCAGCAGGAGTAGCTGGCCCTCCACAAACGCATTTTTGGCCAGTTGATCCACATTCAGGCCTTCTAGAACCGAGGAATCTTCGTCTGAAGATTCCTTGTAGCCCAATGCACCATAGAATCGCAGAGCCCCCACGTTTCCCGGCTCCACGTGCAGCAGCAATGTGGTGAGTTGCTTTGTGAATTCATCATCGCCGCTCTTTGGGTCATTGTGGAAATTATTATTTTGAGTGTGTTCTTCTACCGCCTTCATGATTTTGGCAGCCACACCCTTTCTTCGATGAGTCCTGGCCGTGACAACATCCGTCACATACAAAAACCGAGCGGTTGGTTTTGCGTCATCCTCCCAACAACCCTTTAACTCAATAGGGCTTAGCTCTGCCGCTCCCACAACTTGGCCGCCCTTCCAAGTGGCCAAAAAGGCGACCGCCTTTTCTTCCGTGCGCTCGAGTTGAATTTCCGCCGTGGCCATTCGAAAAGCGGTCAACGATGGTCGTGTCTCGGCGTTTTCGTCATCCATCATCCATTCTTGGTATCTCAAATCGGCCAACGCGATCATGTCGGCGTTGGTTTGTACAGGGCGGGTCTGGATTATTGAAGCGCTGCCGCCAGCATTCTTCTTCTTCTTGGAAACTTTGGAAAACCCGCTCAGCGCCAGCACATTGTCGAGTTCACACCAAGACAAGAGGATCCACAGCACAACTTGGAAGGAGAGGCAACCGTGGGTGACCATCATATGAGAATTGTGCCCGGCTCAGCAAACCTCTTCCACCTTTCTTCAGTTGGTTGTCAAGACGACTGGGGGGTAGCTCTGGAGAGCTGACGTCAGTCACGAGTGCTCAGGAATGAAAAATGCTTTAAATGGTGAAGCTGGCAAGACAGCTGAAATCAAATCGGAAAGCGTGGGGGGGGGCTGTGTCTCTCGCCTTCGTGGGTGTTGTTTGATCCAATCTACCGAATCTCGTGCTGTTCAAAGCAGAAAATAATACAAGGAAGGAGGTCTTGGGCAGGGAATGGGGGAAGGACAAATAGTAGCCATAGAGATCCAGAGCCCCAGGATTGTCCCAATGCTGGGAACTTTTATCAGACACTCGTAGCGTTCTCTGCAAGATGGACACAATCGCAGACAGTCTGACAGTCTCCGAAAGCTGCAATTGCCGACAGTATCAGCAGCTAGAGAAACCGGATAATCGGGGTTGACTTCAGTTCATCGAGGATGCATTTTCACAGCTTCAGAGTATTTCCTCTGAGAGAATGTATACATGTAGATCGCGCAGAGTGCAGAAAAGTGGTTGTCCAAACAAAAAGGTCATACGATATTAGTAGCAAAGAGTGACTGGATTAAAAGTAAATTTTTCTGTGTCAACAAACAGCCTCGACTCGACTGAGAACTCGCTCCGAGAAACCATGAAGCAGTACCGAAACAGATCCCTGCTGCCTACATGTGCTACTAGCTAGTATGCTTAGGATACCCGAACATGTTTTGGATCCAAGATCAATGTCAAACTAACTATTTTAATAAAATGACGAGCTATTGTAGCTAGAACTGTATTGGCATAGCCGGCTCCTTTCCGGAAGGTGCGAGTTGGGTTTTGCGGAAGTATCTTTGCGGCATTGGATTGAGATTCGATTCGAATGATTCGATTCTGTGTAGATATCAACGTAAAGATTCTACGAGACGCAGAGCTGCCGGGCGCCGGTTTGACGGAACAAAGTTGAATGATCATTCAATCCTTCATCAACGAAACAAACTCAAGCAAGAGAGGAAGAGCCAAGCACGTATTCTCACAAAACCAACAATCGTCGAAGAGAAAACAGAAAGCCTCTTTTTCAACAAGTACAAGTAATCAATCTCATTATCACCGCCACCATGTCGCCCGCTGCAGGAAAGCACCACCGCGTGAGCTCGTCTTTGGAAGACTTGACCATTTTGGAGTTGGACTTTCCCGTTGGTCCCCATACGCAGGCCGTCGTGAAGGAAGTTGACCCCGTCGAAGCGCCCCAGCTTCCCAACTCCACTCTTGTCATTGTTGCCGAGACGGATAAGATTCACGAAGACAAGAACAACGACAGCGCCACCTTGGTTGCCGCTCTCGCTGACTTTGACTTTACTACATCCACCAAACTAAAAGTGACAGATTGGGACCCAACCTCCATGAAAGGTTACTCTGAGTACATCAAGGACGGGATGGAGTTTCTCAAGAAGGATCCTTCCAAAGTGGTCATGCTCTTTGAAAGTCCCTCTTCTTCGACTACCGAGTCTTCGTTCCACAACAACAAGCAATTCAAATTCCATGACTGGCCGCCACCAAAGTCTACCATGTCCAAGGCTATTTTGGGCCCTTGCAAATACAGCATGTGGAATGGGTCTGCATTGCCCGTGTTCCTGCGTGGAGGCAAGACCCCTACTGGTCTTGAGGACCACTGGAAGAAGGTTATGCCCGAAAACCTTGTGATGCCGCGTTTTGTGGACAAGGTCAGCGAAGATGATGTTGCCTATGCTTACTTGCCTGTCGAGCAGATCAAGAACCATGTCAATGACCCTGACACACACTACCACTTGGCCGGTAAGGATGCCATTCATCTCATGACTCAGAAGACAACCAAGCTTCTTCCCGACACACGCACTTCGAGACCTTGCGTTGTCAAGACCACCCACTCCATGGGATCCAAGGGAATCTTTATCATCCGCAATGATGAAGATGAGGCCGAGTTCGAGCAGTTCCTCCAAGAGTCTGGAAATCCTACCTTTGTCATTACTGACTTTGTGGACATCAAGCGCAACATTGCGTGCCATTTCTTCATGCATCCAGACGGCAAGAACGTTACCTGGTTTGGATCAAACGAGAACAAGCGATTGCCCGATGGTTCATTCTCCACCGACTCCTACTTGGAGATGAAGGATCAAAAGTCCATGAAGGAAATGCAGCTACCCTTTGTCGAAGAGGTTGTCCAGTATTGTGAGAATCTAGGATTCTGGGGCTTTTGCGGTATTGATGTCCTCTTTGACTCTCAAGAAAATGGATACATGGTGGATATCAACCCTCGTGTCACTGGCAGCTGCCCGGCACTCATGACTTTGCAACTGTTCAACAAGAAGTATGGCTTTGAAGTTGGCCTATTCCGTCGTGGCGGAGACATCAACTACTACGGAACGATGGAGTCGATGATGGAAGAAGTCGACGCGTACAACACTGCCAACGAAGGCAAGTCAAGGATTCTAATTCACAGTGCGTTTCAGCCCGGAGAGAATCACACCCGCATGAACATTGGCGTTTATGGGTTTGACATGGACGAGTGCAAGGCCGTGCTCAACCGCTTTGCCCAGCCCAAGAGTGTCGAAGTTCAGGAAGACCCCTAAAAAATGGATGAGCAGCGAGTTTGACAGCTACATAGCCCGCAACCAAAGCAACTGTTTGTGTGTTTGAGCAATTTGAATAGTATTCATTGGAGATGCATTCTATTTCGTAGATAAATACGTAAGAGATTTCATTTTAACACTAGCAGCAGTACGTTACCGGTATGAACAGTTGAAAAGCCAAAGCGGAAGACTTCTTGGAGCCTGGAGGATACTCCATGTATGGCTTGCTACCGGTATGTGTTTGGAACGATAGCTCCTTCTCTTTATCCTCCAGGCTCCATCCTTTGATTGACTTTTCCCAGCAGTATTAAAGGCTTCTTAATTTAAAAAATGGTACTGGTACTTGTGGCTTGGTACAGTATTTATAATACTTCGGTAATGTACGGTACGGTACGGTATTGAGAGACTTAAACCAACCATAGAACCATATGTTTTCTTTATTGTTGATGCTCTCCTTTCAGTCCTTGGCTGTTGTTTATTACGACAATGTCTTCTCAGCGGCAGGACTTTGGCTACAGTCGAACTGTGAGCTATGAGAACGGGAACCATTTCAAGGTCATCTTCCAACGATGGGGAAGCGTCAACCACAAAGTGATGCCATTTTGTCTCGCCAACGTCATGGTCGCGTTGATCCTTGTCTATTTGCTGGAACATGGCATTGACCTGACGACTTCCGAGTTTGGACACGAGTTTATGAGCGTCTTGGTGTCCTTTCTCCTGTTGAACAAGCTGTCATTCACGCTGGGTTTGTACTATGAGCAACAAGGGTATCTATCCAAGATGAATCAAGCTACAGTGGAATTGGCTCAACTTGCTTTCTCCTTCACGTCAGGACACAGCGAGGAACAATACCGAAAGTGGCGTTTCGATGTAGCACAGCAAGTTCTCACGTTGTTAAAAGTCACTGTCCTTGTCGTCTACAAAAATGGACCTGGTAAAGTGTGGGAAATACCAGAGCTCGCTGATGATGCACCGATTCTTTCAATGGGGGGATCTTCGGCATATGGTGATGTGAGTGCTGGGATTTTTTCCCAAGAAGCAAACCTAAGGAAAATCCGCATTGGGCCTTTGAGACGAAAAAAGGCCCCCGAGGAGGTGTATGTTTTTGGCCACGATCTGCAGTCCGACAGGAATTTGAGAACTCCAATCTGTGTTGCTCAAAGAGTGCGGGAAGCCATCGTGGCGCATCGTTCACTACCGGGTGATCCGATAGATACGATTCGGGAGCAAATGCTGCTCAACTGTGTCAAAGAGTTTATGGACAGTTACTATGGAGTCCGAAAGTATCTGACCTGTCCGCTGCCACTGCCTCTGGTTCAGCTGGGGCGGGTCTTCGTCCTCTTTTACATCTTCACAATGCCAGCTGCATTGCTCAGTCCGTCACTGAACCTAAAATACATCCAAATGGTGGTGCTCATCTTTCTCATGACTTATGGTAAGAACAAAGAATAACTTTCCCGTTTGGCTCGATGCCAATTTCACAAGAACTCGCTCAGGACTTCTCAACACTTATACTTGGTTTAATGAATGCAACAAAAGGGTTCGTGGGGATTGAGCTGCTCTTTGTCGAGCTTGATGATCCATTTAGGGAGGACCCAAATGATTTGCCGCTGACAGAGGAGGCCAGAGCAGCTGGAGAGGATGTCGTCCTTGCACTCTGGCATGCCGATGGAAAGGAGGTGGCTGAACGGCTGCGGGATAAGTTTCTCGGTCAAAGGGCTCTGCAAGGCAACACCAGCTCTAAGGAAACAGATCCCCTAGTTAGAGAATAGCTTTGGAGACAGCAGCGCCAGAAAGAGCAGCCCAGTCTGGTCTGAGGCCCAGCCAAAGAGTCCTCAAGGCGGGCAGTCTCCACGGTTTCCCCTAGAGCCATCATCGAAGCTTGGTTTGCAAGATTCCAAATAGAGACTACTCGTAGACAAAGAGGGAGCAGCTAACTATAGCGCAAACCATGAAGCTAAACTGTTGGTTCCTAAACCATGGAACCTCAATCATAGAAATCTTGGTTTGGTCTGGATGCCGTTTGTCTTGCTCCTCAGGCTGTGATGACAGCACAAAGCACTTGTTGTACCCGTATGCTCCAACTCCAGCTTCATATATGCCAGAATCATATCTTCCCCCATACGGGTTTCTTACAATTTATGCCTTTTCAGCTTGCTCAATTAGAGTTTTTTTAAATCCTGGCCATGTCGGTTGGGTCCGTCAGATGGCCTGCACGGGGATCTAGGAGGGGGCGTTTGGTTTCCAATCCTGTAGACGGCCAGCAATTTTCAAAGCCCACCGAATGACAGTTTTGTTGATCCAGGCAGGGAGCCCAGTGAAGAATTAGTTAGTAAGATTTGTGATTAACAATTATGAGCTAATTTCTAGGTGGATGTCCCTGGCTGGAGCACACAGGCCAGCTGGGGAGTGCCAACTCTAACAGCTTCTAACGGCTAGTAATTCATGCATTGCAGGCTTGCTGACATCATGATAGTGATTGGGATCTGGACTGACACTTAAAGACTTAAGGGTCAGAGGTGCCAGATCAACACACCCTCACACTATCATGTGACGTGAGTCGCGTCCATGGCATTTCTTGTGTTGTGGGTGGATGCATGTTGTCGTGTAGGTATTTTGATCGCTCTGCCCGATGGTGGGAGGCTGGGTGGTGCTTGGTGAAGTAGTCTCCTTTGTTGGTGATACCAGGGCGCCAATAGATGGTGAACTGGCCTTGTTCTATTCGGTCTTTGAGCCAGTAAAATCTCATGTCGATTGCTTTGGATCGCTTCTGCTTGACCGTTCCCGTGAGGATGCCTTCAGCGCACTTGTTGTCCGTTTGGATTGGTGTGGCTGGCTGGGGATGTCCCATTTCGATGAGCGTCTGTCTGATTGGACAGGCTTCTTACAAGTGCATTGTTGAATGCTGCGCCGACTTCCGCATCGGCCGTAAAACTTAGTACGTTTTTCATGATTTTCACGGACACTTGAATGGCTCCATTATGTGGAGCTGCGGCTTTGTTTCCGTCGCTGAGGAAGAAGTAGCCTCCGGCTCGTGATCGAGCTTTTGGGGCTGAGAGGTAGGAGCATTCCGACGCGGAGAATCATGTTGCTTTTGTGGTACCGGAGCACTGCATCAGGATGCATGGCCGCATAATTTAGGAACATGACAGATGCCTCTAGTGTTTTCTCCGTGCTCTGAGTCTGTTCTGCAGCTATGTCGCCTAGTGCCATTAGCATGGTGCAGTTAACCACTCGGGCGTAGTATAATAGGACCCCCACCACTTCTTGAATGTGTTTGATTCCTGCTGGTGGTAGTGGCTGGGAAGTGTCCTCTGGTTCTGTGAACTGGATTGGTTGGCCGTATTGTGGTAGCTACATTCCACTTGTGCGGTGCATGTTGTGGGCGGTCCTGTTGGACGTGGTTGAATCGTTGTATAGTGCCCTCTTTACATATCCTGGCATGTACAGGTCGACTGTGCCTTCATCATAATTCCACTTTAGGTGGATGCCACCTTACAGCTCGCCTTGCCAATCTGTAATGATCTTGTAAGCCGCTGCTAGTGTATCGATGAGATGCAGTGCATGTTCTTTTCCTACATATTTGACTCCAAAATCATCTACCACTAGAGTGAAGGCAACGGGGCATTTGTCATGCTTGAAAAAGCCATGTACATGTTTGGATTGGTTGTAGCCGTGCCCTTGTAAGTACGTGACTAGAGCGTCGTTGGCAATCCTGCCAGCTTGTGGTAGTCCATACATGCATCGGTTGATTTCGACTAAAACGTAGCCTTTGTGTACCAGGGGGTGTAAGTTGTATTGGTCCATGATCTCATCAGGGATGCAATCAACTGGTATTCCCATGTACTCGGGCCGTTCCATCGGTGTGTTGAGGTAAAAGTCCTTGATATCGATTGACATGAACTTGGCATCGGGTGTGGAGATGACGCTGTGAGGTGCATCTTGACTGTGTTCAACGAAGCTGTTTTGGTGCTGACATCGAAAGGGTATTCTATTCTGTCCCCCCCTACGGTGAATCGCACTCTACGGACTTCTGCTTTCTGTGGTCTATCATCACAGACGACTCGCAAGTAGGTTGCTTTGCGACCAGCGGGTGGGTCAGTGTGTTTGATGAATTGGATCGTTTCGGTTCCTTTTAGGTCCATGGACTTGCGACCTTGCGCTAGTCGTCCTATTTCATTGCAACAAGCGTTGATCCAGTGGTGGCCGTCAGAGGACTTCTTCAAGACTCTGTAGTCGGACAGGACGCCAGTGTCGGGGTTGATGGCTTTGTTGGCTTGGTGATTGTCGTTTGGGTTTGGCGGTGTTGATTGTTGTGGTGCCGGGGTTGTGCTTTGCTTTTTGCGTTTACTACGTTGTTTGGCTGTAGAGGATGTGTAAGTTGGGGCTTTGTTTGCCACACTGCGCCAGAGTTTGTTGTGTCCATTGGTGGTTTGTTCTGCGTGTCATGTGACGTTAGTTGGGTGTGCAATCGTTTGTCAAAGATGTGGCCCAGATCAAGTAGTGTGGCGGCTTCGCTTTCAGTCAGTCTTGGGATGCTGGATTGGTGTTTGGCTTGGTGAGGGCGACTGCAATGCCACGTACTTACCACTCCGCCTATGGCTAAGTCGAGTGGTGTTGGCAGTGGCATTAAAAGTCTTTCGGGGAACCATGTTAGTGTGTCTGCTTTTCGTTCCCTTTGAGTGTCCCAAATCCAAGTCCTAAAGCATCGATAAGCATCTAGCTCTGATCCAATGTAGGGGTGTAATATACTCTTTAACTTAACAAGTCAAGGCCACGGAGTGGCTTTATTGACGCGGGCACAAGCGGGATAATTCCCACTCAGCTGAGTCGTCATTCTACTTTTCTACATAGTCAGCATGATTCCACCCACCGGTGCCAATGACGCCAGCTCCAAGTAGAATAGATTGCCCCTAGCTAGAGGGGGGATGGTCATACTCACCAAGAACCTGCAGCGCAAAACCTGGGTTACAGGGGCTATACACAGGATTTCCGTCACCAATACCAGTGGAACCTTAAAAAGTATAGCATCAGAGTGCTCGCCGATAAGTGTGTCTGTGTAACAAGGTTCCATGCTGTGGCCAGTGCCTTGGCGTGCAAGGCACTGTGCCAGCAGAGCCCGTAAGAGGTGGTACTCTTTAGGCTAGACCAGGTCATGGTGTGGTAACCCATCCAGTGGACAAAAAGTGTTAGGTAGAAACCAACAAGGCAGTAGCCAAAGGATGGGGTCAAGTGACAGACCGGCAGTCTGTGGCTCCCAGGAGGGAGGCACTGTGGCTGCTGGAGTGTTGTGAGCTGTTGGAGGGGTTGTTGAATCAATGGAAGGAGGATAAGGGGGCACTGGAAGTGGGGCTGTGCCGGGGGCAGGAGGGGAGGTCCTGTTGGTGTTTGAGTGTTGTTGAAGGAGTTGGGAGGTAGCATGGTTGATGGTGTGTTGTAGGATAGAGGCATGTCTCTGTTCAAGGGTGAGAACAAAGGCATCATCTCTGATGGGGTATGGGGTGATTCGGAAGGGTGTGATCCTCAAGATGGCTGCATGCTCTAGGAGCTGTTGGCTGATCAACTGGGGGTTGGTGTTGGTTAATCTGCGGAGGATGATGGATGTGGTTGGTTGGGTGAAGTGTGGGAGTAGGGGGATGTCTGTAGGACCTTGGGTTTGAGAAGGGGGTAGCTTGGGAAGTCATGGTGGGTGATAGGTGGGTTGGTGGGAGAGATGTGTATCCGTTGGGTTGACTGTAGGTCGTTGCTTCAACTCAAGCAGTAGAGGGTGCTTGTGAGGTGGCGAGAGTATTGTTGTAAATGGTTTATTCAAATGGTCAATGCACTGGGGCACTGGTAATCAAGGTATATATCAGAGTTGTTGGGTGGTTGTTGCCACTGGATCAAAGGCTGTGGCCAAATCTAGTGCAGGTATACCACTACCTGCAGGAGAAGATGGGATCAGAGCCAAAGGCTGTTAGGGATTCTTTCAGGGAAAACTGGAGAAGTCACGCTATAGCCAGGAGAGGCAGTGGTGGGGGTATCAAGGGGTGTTGTTGGTCGATGGGGCTGTGTTACTGGTTGACACTGTGTTGTCTCAGGGGCAGGGAACTCAATCTGTTGTAGGGATATCAATGCAACAGAGAGTCAAGCCAAGATATGGAGAGGGTACTCAATTCAGGTGTAGGAATGGGAAAAGTCACTGAAGAGTCACTCAACAATCAAGTAGAGAAGAAGAGTCAGTTATTTATTAATATCTATGCCACACCACGCTGCAAATGTCTGTGGCTGTCCTTTGGAGCTCCACACTCTGTAGGAGAGGCAGATAGGAGCAGAGAGATGGCTGTTTCAATGGAGTTGTTGCACGATCTACATGTTAGATTCACTAAGCTCTCTAGTTTACCATTGTTTTGCTATTGAGATACTACTGAAAAAGTGGGTGGGCTCAGTTTTTCTGCTGGTGTGAAATTCTAGCATTGAGGTAAAGGGGTTGAATCTCTAATCGCGAATCCCCAACACACTCCTGTGGTCGTCGAGCTTGTCCTAGTCGTCGACCATGCTTACTTACTTACTCTGCTTAGCGCTCCTTCTTTGAACGGCCCTTCTTGTCCGGCCGTGATCCTCCTACTGGGTGCCCTGGCTTTGAGTGTTCCACTACATCAATTTGTCGACGTTCTGTTTGAACAGTCGTCCTTGGTTCGGCTTTGTCCAGAAGTCCGCAACCATATCATCAGTTGGACACCAGTCCAGACTGATCTCCAAATTTGTGAATCTGTCGCTCACAAAGAAGTAC